GAATTTCTGCCTCTTCCACCTCAGTCAAGACTGTCCCTTGTTTCAGGGGTTCTTCTTAGCCAGTTTTCAGTTCTCTCTCAGGAGTAATTCTTCCCAGAGTAGTTGTAAATTTGTTGTGTGTGTGGGAGGAGGTGACTTCAGAGTCTGCTTATGCCTCCCTCTTCATACCTCTCCAGCATTGTTATCCATGGCACGTCCATCCTAAGAGGACAGGAGCAAGTCCTTCCTGCTCTGAACAACCAGCACATTGTCTCTGCTCCCTAAAATATTCATTCGTAATGGTGATAATGCTGACATTACTGGAAAAACTAAATGCAAGCCAGGGGCTGGCCCCATGGTATAGTGGTTAAGCTCGTGTGCTCCACTTTGGTGGCCCAGTGTTCACAGGTTTGGATCCCAGGTGTGGACCCAGCACTGCTCGTCATGCCATGCTGTGTCCATGTGCCACATAAAATGGAAGAAAGTTAGCACAGATGTTCGCTCAACAACCATCTTCCTCAAGTGAAAAGAGGAAGATTGGCAACAGATATTAGCTCAGGGCCAATCTTCCTTACAAAAAAAGAAAAAAGAAAAAGAAAAGCCAGATTGTCAAAATGAAGGTTCTCTTTCAGGGCTTTTTCTTCTCATGGTATACACATTTTTTACTCCCATATCTTCTATGTCTACCAATATGTTGATAACTCCCAAATTTTAATCTCCAGCTCCAACATTCTCTCCCAAGAGAGAAGATTCAGACTTATGTTTTTAACTGTTTACTAGTCAGTCAACTCCTACATGTCACAGAGTGGCCACAACACAATATACCCTAAACTGAACTCTTATCCTTTGTTCTAGCTGGTTTCCCTCCATTTGGCTGTCACTATTTATGGCATGCCTCACAGACCCCACCTCTCACATCCTATTGGTCACTCATTCCTGCTGATTCTAACTAATTCTAATGTTTCTTGAATCCAAACCTACTCTTTATCCTTTATCAATGCATATCTGGGCCATTTCAGAAGCCTCCTTAAACTGGGCTTCCTGCCTCCAATGTAGATTCCATCCAGTGGCCACGGGCATCTTTCTAAAAATATTGGATAATCTCACTCCCTGCTTAAAGCCCTTCCATGGCCTGCCATCACCTCTCTTACCTGGATCAGCAGTTTAAAACCAGGTCCAGCAGGTTCAGGGGCGCCTCAGTGCTGCCTGAGGACCTGGGTGGGACTCCAGCACTGCATCCCCTCCTTAGGCCAAGGAATTCCACTTTTACATGTTTTACATTCTCTATAGATTTTCTTTTGAGAAAAGCAGCTGCTACCTCTCCAAAAAACAGAAAACTAATGGTCTTGATAGATGCGTGGAGACAAGCTGGTTTGTTGGCAAATGGTGCCAACAGCTCTCTGTCTAGTCTAGCAGCAAGCTGGCTCAGCACAGAGGACCTAAGACTTCCAGCAGAAACCAGTGCTGATTTGCAGCTGAAAACACAACATTTTTCATGCCAGCCAGGTTGCACCCCTGACTGCACAGTTCAGGATTCTCTGTCTTGGTTGGGTGCTCTGGACCCCCTTCCATCCATGCTGCTCAAGGCAAAAGAGATCAGGGAACTTCCTCTGGAACAGAACCCGTGGTGCATCCAGCCCTGTCCTGACTGAGCACATCCCTCACAGGATGGTGAGAATCTGGGGGACTGTGTGCCTCTTTCTTTGAGCCTGCTCCACGTGTTGTGGAGTTTGTACCCACCCCCGTGCAACTGTAACAATGCCAACTTTAGTGTCAAACAGCACATCTTGCTCTCTGAGGAGATCTGAGGTGGAAGCAAGGAGCTGGGCACTTCCCAGTGGAGCAGACAGTCTAGATGCCTCATTCAGCTTGATCTTGCCTCCAGCCTCTCTTCATTGTTACCTCCACATTTCAACACGTTGTCCAGAAGTGAGTTTCATCCAGTCTTACCTGCTCACAATTTCCTTAAACACAGAAAAAATGCTCCCCACTCTTGCTCTGTCAGAGTTTCCCTTGCTTCTGTGGCATCTCCTCTGCCTACCCCAACTCTCCCCAGCCTGAAGGCGTGGCTTGGGCTCCCCCACTCTGTGGAGCCTCCCCGGTGAGATCTCCACCTCTTCCTCTGAACATGTGGTACCAAGTATCTACAATATCCATGGGCCTCATGACATCTTTTGTATTGTGATTTAACTTTTAGGATTTCTGTTTTCTTTCCTGAACTGTGCCATAAACTTCTTGAGGGAAGGGGTCCTGTGTCTATTGCCCCATGTACACAAAGGGGCTTAGTAAATATTTGCTCAAAGAAGGAAGGAGGGAAGAGAAGGAAGAAGAAAGGAAGGCAATAAACCCACCTGTCTGATTCTCTAGGTATGGCCTCCTGAGGGTTTTTTTTCTTTCTTAGACTAAGCTTCATAATGGTGTGTCACGGTAGGACTTTTCAGTCTCCCAAAGAGATCAAAGGAACTTTGGCTTCTGCCTCCCCTCCCAGTGCTTTTCCACATGATGACCAGACACAATTCAGGACTAGGGGGTGGGGAGACCTACAGCAGAGACTGTGAAGGGAGACACATCCAAGTCGGGGGGCAAAGTGTGCAAGGGATTCAGTGGGAGAAACAAGGATCGGCTTCCCTCCTCCAGATGGGTCTGTGAGAGAAGAGGACAATCCGTTGTCCCCACAATGCAGTGGTGGGGTCTGCCTCTGGAACTGGCAGGTCACCCTAGGTCCAAGATCTTGGTCCTCTCCCTTTCACGGTGATGTTTTCCACTCTGCCTTGGTTCTCAGCCCCTGGCCACAGACAGGGCAGCCCTTCCCTCCGGCCCTTCATCTCAATGGCTGGGCCTGGCCCAACCGTGAATGAGCGCCTCCCCCGCTTTTCCCGGCACCAGCACATGACAGGGAGGGGATTTCCTTTGGGGCCTTAACTAGGAATTGTTCTCTTGCCCCACGTCAGCTGGCTGCTGGGGGAGAGTCTTCAGTAGTTTCATTTCCCTCATTTGGAATGTAGTTTTTAAGAACCAAAAATCAAAAACGGAAAGGGGAGAGGCCACCACCCACATTGGTACTGCTCAACCCCTCATGATGCCCGTCCTGGAAAAGCTGAGGGGTCAGTGCAAAGACTGAGGGCAAGTGAGGGTGGCTTGGCTAAAGGTCCTTCCTGGCAGGTTTCCTCCTCTCCTCTAACCGTCTTGGGGAGGGAGGGTCTCCAATCCTGAGCTCAGCTCCTCTTGCTCCTGTTGCCCAGGCAGGTGGGCACTTGGGCAGTTCACAAAGCTCTCCCAGGATAATGAGCCGATGGCCTCCCTCAGCCACTAATTCCAGTGACTGACCTCTGTGGGAACCCTGCCTCTTCCTTTTCTGGAAACACTGACAGTATCAACATATGAGCAAAGATTTCATGTTATGCAGAGACAACAAGATGCTTGCAGACGTAACCTGTCAGCATCGAGGCATAACTGGCTGTGGGCAATGGACAGGAAGGGGCACACCCAACAAACAGTGGTCCAGTTAGGGCAGAATGGAAGGGAATCATGGAAAAACAGAAAGGAGGTACTGGGAGAATCATGGGAGGAAGAGCGCACAACTAGTGGGAGACTTCCAGGAAAGCTTTCTGGAAGAGGTGGCATCTGACTGGATCCTCACAACATGGGCCTGGATGCGGGGTCGAAGTCTGAAGAAGAGGTGAGGAAGATGATGAGTTGGGGTGAGGCCTGTCAAGGTCTAGAGCCTGTAAGAGAGATGATGGCATCTCTGTGTCTCCACAAGACCTGTTCACAGTTCTGCCCAGTGCTGCCATCATCATTCACGTGTTACAGTTCTGTCTTTCCCCAAGGGCACTGAGTCTTGGCAGGCAGGAACTATGGTTTTAAACATTTGTATGTATCCCCATCAAAACCTAGTCTATGACCTCGTCAGTGCTCAACAAAGGTTTCTAAAATGAAGATTAAAGTATCATTTGTTCTAGAGTCACCTGGTCTAAGTCACTTGCCAAATGACTTGGGAAAAGTCATTTGTTGGTCCTTGAGAAGTCCTTTTTCATAACTGATGAGTATAAATCTGAGTCCTTACCATGGGCTCAGGGCCCTGCCTGATCTAGTCCCCTCTCTGCTCCATCTGACTTCCCTACCACTTTCCTCTTCACTCACTCCACCCAAAGCATGAAGTTCTCCTCCAGCTCCTCTGTTAAGCGAAGGCTTCTGTCTCAGGACTTTTGCCATTTGCTCTTTCCTAGGCCCAGAATGATCTCCCTCTCTCTCAGATATCCATACAGCTCACTCCCTAACTTCCTTTAGGCCTCTGCTCAAATGTCACCTCCTCAAAGAAGGCTCCCCTGACCACATCATCTAAAATAGCACCTCTCCATCACTTTCTTTTCCCTTGCTTTACTTTTTCTTTCTTTCATTCTTCTTCTTTTTTTTTTTTTTTTTGGTGAGGAAGATTGACCCTGAGCTAACATCTTGCTGCCAATCTTCCTCTTTTTTGCTTGAGGAAGATTGGCACAGATGTTAGATGGCTTGACAAGCAGTGTGTAGGTTCGTGCCTGGGATCTGAACCATTGAATCCTGGGTCACTGAAGTGGAGTACATAAACAACCACTACACCAGCATGCTGGCCACTCTTCACAAAATTTTTTCATTCATGTCACTGTCTGATATCTTATTATATACTTACTTGCTAATTGTCAGCCTCCCCAACTAGATGGTGTGCTCCTGAGAGAAAGAACTTTGTTTATTCACTGCTCTATCCCAGAGCCTGACACACATGAGGTGCTTATAAACTTATGTGGACGATATGAGTGAGTGAATGAGTGACCTTAAAAAAAGAGCAGTTCAAGAGCCAGCCCTGTGAGTCTAGTGGTTAAAGTTCAGCACTCACCACTTCCGTGGCCCGGGTTTGTTTCCCAGTCACAGAACCACACCAGCCATCTGTCAGTTGCCATGCTGTGGCAGCAGCTCATATAGAAGAACTAGAAGGACGTACAACTAAGGATATACAACCATGTATTGGGGATTTGGGAGGAAAAAAAAGGAGGAAGGTTGGCAACAGATGTTAGCTCAGGGTGAATCTTTCCCTGCCAAAAAAATAGCAGTTCTGGTAGAGTGCTGGGGTCAGGAGCCGTATTGACACATGATAGTTCATTAGTGACTGGGGTTACAGAATTAAACAGAGAGAGGAACAACTGCTTTCACAAGAAATAAGGTAATGAAGGGAAAGATTAGTGTGTGAGTATCCTTTGTAAACTGTGCAGTGCTGTATAAATAAAACTATTTTCCTTGGCAGAACAGGTCAGGGAGAGACGAGAAGAGATGGGGTCAAGTCCTTAAGTGGAGGTTGGCCTCGGCGAGTCTTCCGCATGTGGCAGAAATCAAGGCAGTGTGATGGGGACGGGGCAAGACAGACCTGAAAGGACTGTTGATCATCTGTGTTTACAAGGACGCACAGCAGGCGACATGGGGAGGACTCGGCTGTCCCCGACTCTTGTGTAATGTCAGTGGGCAGCCCAGGCCTGGAAGAGGACAGCAGACCTTGACATGGGCCAGTACATATGGTCACAGCTAATCAAAGCCCAGGTACATTCATTATCCCTCAGTGACTCAGTTAAGTAGGTACTAATAGTCTCAATTTGCAGAACAGAAAATTAGGCTCAGATTGATCACAAGATTTGCCCAGGGCCACACGGTAGGAAGTGTCAGTACCAACTTGTTTTTAGCAACAGTTACTGGTTTTTTAAAAAAATTTCTGATTATAAAAATATTACATAGACACTGAAAAGAAGGGTAAAAAGAAGAAAACCAACCACAGACCCACAAGTCAGAGAAAATTCATTGTTAACATCATGGTGTATTGCACTCCAAGGTTTTTCTAGGCATATGTAATATGTTTGGGGTTTTTTTAAAATAAAGTTAAGATCAGATTTCACACAGTCTTTTGTAAGTTTACATACATAATTTATAACAATATATTGGAATTTTTTCCCTAAGTCCTTAAATTTTCATGACATGATTTTGACTAGCTCTATATTATTCTGTCACTTGGATGCCTATAATTAATTATCCAGTCTTCTTTTGTATGGCATTATAGTACAGGCCCAAAATCCCTTATCCTAAAGTTTGGGGCCAGAAGTGTTTCAAAAATAACAATATTTCATGGTTTACAAAGGTAACCTGATACATAGGCCATAAATTACATAATTCCTCCAGCAGCATCTAGAACCACACCCCAAAATCAACACATTAATATTTTGGCCACAAACATAAATGTTCACATTAAGTGGGCAAAAGATAGAGTGGCCAAAATAGGTCTTTGCCAGTCCAGGTCAGGTTTTGCAGCCAAATGAGATTGTGCCAAACTCACCAAAAAAGCCTTTGGTTTTCAGAGCTTGTTGGATTTCAGAATTGTAGACTCATATCAGGCTTTGAAGCCTGGCTTGTTCCACAGCCTGACTGTGTTTCCCAACAGCTGTGACATTCTAGAATGGCAGCAGAATGAAAGACATAACCATGAGGCAAAGTTCTAGCTGCTCAGGGGGGCCAAAGAAGCAAAAAAGTGGTGGTGGGATCCCTCGACAGGGATGGGTGCAGGCCTGGAGTCAGCTAGCACCAGGAGCAGGTTCCTAAGAAGTGAGGGAGTGCAGGAGGGAGGAGGAAGTGTTGGTGACTGAGACCAGAGACGCCTTGGCCGTGGGGCGAGGTGCAAACTGCCACAAAGCACAAGTCAAAAGCTCCCAAATTCACTTCAGATCCACCTACCCTCAGAAGCTCTACGCGTCAAGGGGAAGATCTCCAGAGCGGCCCGTGTGGGGCTTCCTGACACACTGGGAGACAAGAAAAAGGGTGCACGGCTCAGAAGCAGCTTGCTGTGGGAGAAGGAGCACAACCTCGTTGATTTTGCAGAGGCCCAGGGCAGTGGGCCCCCTTCTCCTTCCTGTTCCTGCATCAAGTGTGGTTTGCTGTCAAGTGGTAGCAGGTTCAGCCACAGTGAAGGGAGGTAGAGGGAGAGGCCCCTTGAGAGCGAGTGGCCCTGCGGTGGGAGCCCCGGATCTGGAAGGTGACTTGCTAGAGCCGCTCTCAGCTGGGGAGCAGAGTGAATGGTGGGGACTGGGGCTTCTGGGTGGTGCAAGGCATGCTGGGAAGTGTGGGTTTTAATTGGCAGTTGGGCAGTTTAGCCACAAGCTGGGAGCAGGGTGGAGTCTGCGGTGGTGGGGGAGGCTTGTAAGGCAGAAACGGGGAAGAGTGATTTTTTTTTTTTCTCACACCAGCAAACCAGAGGAAGATTGGCCCATCAGAACCAATTGTTATCAGCCTAGCACTGAGTTCAAAGGCTGCATTTAGACTCTTCACCGCTCTGAAGGAGATTCTGTCTCTTCATTGCCACTCGCCATAGTTACCAGATCAGTCACACCAACGACGCATTTCCCACACACATCTTGCAAATTCCCTCCAACAGGAATCTCCTCTTCTCTGCCAGGTTATCGTAACTATGTTCTTGGGGATTTCACGAAAGACTCATCTCCTCAAAGCCTGCCCCCATTAATCCCATCTTATTCAATTTACTATCTCTTCTTACATAAAATGCCACCTAATTCTTCCAGAAATCAGATTCCTGGCAACTATAATTACCCAAAACACTGCAGCAAGCTGTCTGAAAGCCCAGGCTTTTTAGTTCTGCCTGACAGCATCGTGTTGCCTTTTAGCATAGGGTAGACAGACCTGCTCGGGTCTATAACCCACGAGAGCCCCTCCGTATCTCAGTGAACCTCAGCCACTGATGCTCATAAGAAGGCTCTAAGTCATCGAGAATGGACTAACTCATGTAAAGAGTTCTTAGAACTCAATAATAAAAAGACAGATAACCCAATTAAAAAGCGCAAAGGATGTGAACACACATTTCTCCAAGAAACATGCAAATGGCTGATAAGCACATGAAGAGATGCTCAACATCATTTGTCATCAGGGAAATGCAACTCAAAACCACGATGAGATACCACTTCACACCCACAAGGATGGCTAAAATAAAAAAGACAGATAACAAGTACTGGCGAAGATGCAGAGAAAGTGGGACCCTCACATACCACTGACAAGAATGTAAAATGGGGCAGAAACTTTGGAAAATAGTCTGATGGTTCCTCAAAAGGATAAACATGGAGTTATCATATAACCCAGCCATTCCATTCCCAGGCACTCAAAAGAAATGAATACACATGTCCACACAAAAACTTGTACACGAATTTCATAGTGGCATTATTGATGATAGCCAAAAAATGAAAACAACCCCAATATCCATTGAGGGATGAATGGATAAACAAAATGTGGTCTATCCATACAATGGAATATTATTCAGGCGTAAAAAGGAATGAAGTACTGACACATGCTACAACATGGATGAACCTTGAAAACGTTACACTAAGTGAAAGGAGCCAGTCATAAAAGATCACTTATTACATGATTCTATTTATATGAAATGTCCAGAGTAAGCAAATCTATAGAAACAGAAAGGTTAGTGGTTCCCTCGGTCTGGGGGTTTGGGGAAAGTTAGGGAGAGACTGCTAATGGGTATGGAGTTTCCTTTTGAAGTCATGAAAATGTTCTAAAATTGATTGTGGTGATGGTTGTACTCTGTGCACATGCTTTAAAAAAGACATTGAATCATATGCTTAATATCTGTGTCCTGTGAGTTATACCTCAACGAAGCTTTTAAATAAAAATAAATAAAACCAGGAAAAAAAATGGAATCTGTAGACTTAAGTTTCTTGTATAAGAAAGGGAAGTAGATGATTTGCTTAAGAAGTTTTTAAAAATCAGAATGAAAAAACTTAGTGCTTAAATTTATACTTTCTGGTTATCTGGAAATATTTCTATGTAAAACGTCTTGTTTCTTAAGCATTGCTCTCTAAAGCAGATGGGATGTTAGAGCAAGTGTCAACGTCTTAAAGCTTGAAAACCTTCTCCGAAGTGACGGAGTGGCACAGCATTTTGGCCATGATAGCTTGAATTTGCAGTTTCTCCACAGCTGTTGAGTGTTTCATGTATATATATTTAGCTTTTCAGAGTAAAAATATTTCACTGCTATTGAACTCGCTCTATCAAACCTGTTAAAATGTTTTTAAATGTTATGTTTTGAAGATTTTGAAGTTATAGGTTTCTTATTTAAAATACAATTACCCGGGGCTGGCCCCGTGGCCGAGTGGTTGAGTTCGCGCGCTCCGCTGCAGGCGGCCCAGTGTTTCATTGGTTTGAATCCTGGGCGCGGACATGACACTGCTTATCAAACCATGCTGAGGCGGCGTCCCACATACCACAACTAGAAGGACCCACAATGAAGAATATACAACTATGTACCAGAGGGCTTTGGGGAGAAAAAGAAAAAAAATAAAATCTATTAAAAAAAATTAAAAAATGAAAAACAATTACCCTTAATTTTATGTTGGAGATGGTTGCTAAGGAGATGATTAACATGTATTAATTATTGTAAACTATACTATTTTATTATTATATGTTATATACTTATAATAATAACATAAAGATAATAAAATACAAAAATATAAATATATAAATATTTATAAATTTAAATACATGTTAATTATGTATTATTATACATCAGAAAACTCCGGGCAGCTAGTAATCCTAGTTATAGAGAAAGGGGCGCACAACCCTTTGAGAGTAGAAATTAATGCCTTTATCTGTTTGTTTTTATCCTAGGGCTTGGATCTATAATAGTCAATATTAGCTGGGTTGTTTTTGAGGGGTGATCAGCATCCAAACCCCCTTCCTGTTTAGGGGAATCTTTCCTTGTATGGTCATGGTGGGAAACTGAGCCCCACCCCTTGGAAATTAGGGTAGGATTGCATGATCCAGACTCAACCATCTGAATCTGTGCTAAGAACCACGGATCTGGAGCAAGTGATGCAAAGAAGCTGGCTGCTCCAGAGGCGGCAGCAGCAGCCTCTAATATCTGGCGCAGTGGTGGCAGAAGTGCCAGGGAGAGCATTCAGCAGCCACAGTGGCAAAGCCTTTCAACTAGGCTGTCCCCGTGGCGAGGCCATGGCTGTACTTACAGCTGCCCATCTCCCCTTGGTGCTGCCCATTTGCCCAACTGGATCTCCAGCTTTCACATTGACGTCTACCTACTATCCTTCCTAGGATTCCTTTCCTGGTCAAGTGAGCCAGAATCAGTTCTGTTGCCTACAGTCAAGATCCCTGACTCATTCTCCACCTGGGAAAAGAAAAATACAAAAAAACTCTTGGAGTTGAAAGAGGTGATGGACAAAGGAGGACAGGCAGGGGAAGTAAGGAGGCACTGTGATTTAAAAAGGTAAAATAGGACTTTTCCTGGAATTAGCAGAAAGCAATGACAGCAACGTCTTGTTAGAGCCAGACCACATTACCTGCAGCTCTGAGTAAACGTGCTGGACCCCGGGTAAACCAGGACTGCAATTCAATTGGCACAAGTCAAAAATTACAGTCCACGACCCTAGAGGGAGCTGAGTCACTTGAGTGACAGAGTGACAGAATTCTTTTCAGAGACAGACAGTAGTAGCTGATATTCTGAAGTGATGTGTTTTGGTGGGTGTGCTTTAGGATAAGTTAGGCGTGGAAACACACAAAAGAACAGGAGTTAAATGTTAGCCAAAACTTGAGAATAATATGGGAAGAACTGAAATATTTAAGACATGCCAAAAATGTTAGTGGAAACGTGAATAAACAATACATTTTTATGGGTGAAATAACCTCAGACCAAACTTAAAAATAAGAAGTGAGAATATGAATCGGCTTATGATTATGTGATATAAATACTTGCAATTTGGGTTCTAATTACTATTTAAACCATTCTGAAATTACAATTCTCTCTAATTATAATAACTAATGTTACAGTTGGAATTATTGACAGGAAAATAACACTTTCTAAGCTCACAGTCATTTATCAGTTAAATTTGATCATCTGAATTAAAATCATCGCATGAAAGGATTCTTCTTTCAATCTTAGGATCCTTTCAATCATACGAATTATCTGAAAATAATTAACAGAAAGTTTGTGAAAGAAACGGATTCTTAGAGGCTTTGTTCTAGTTTACGTACAAAGTGGACGATTACTGGCAGAAATGAGCTACTCAGTAGTTGTGTAGCTGCTCTGTGCCTCAGTTCCCTCACTTGTAAAATGTTCATAATAATAGTACTTACTTCATAGAAGTGTTCTGAAAAATTAAATAGTTAATCCTGTAAGCCCTTGGTGTTCTTATTACTTGAGGTAAAGTCAGGAATACGCCCAATGACAATAGAAAAGAAAGCAGGCTCGGGCAGCAATTTAATTCAAACAAGATTACTTAAGAAACCCAAAAGGTGCAGCATTCCCGAAACTTATCTAACTTTAGGGAAAAAAAATAACAACTGTTTAGAGGAGGATCCGCAAGGAATAACCATCCTACTTGGGAACCCACCACTAACCTCAAGTGGCCCCCAGAGGTTGCCACCATTATCTTTTCGCCTGCCATGTCTGTAGGGAGTACACGATGGTCCACGAGCAGGAGGCGGCGAAGGTGTTTCAGAAAAGCCTCTCTGTGTGACCTGTCAGGGGAGAGGATGAAGACATCTGGGAGGGAACCAAGGAAACTCTGCTAGGAATGGAGAGGGTGTCAGGTTGTAGGTCACAAGGATCAAAAGCTGAGGTTGGAAGGAGAGGAGAGATCCAGAAAGGATATTGTGGTGGGCATGACCACAGCTCTCACAACCAGGTGCAGGAAATGGACCACGGCCTCTCCATTACAAAAGCAGCCCAGAGGCAGGGAGGTGCTGACGGGAGGTCTCGACATCCTGGGGCGTGCTGGAAGAGGGTCTGGCTAGACCGCCTGATGAGCTCTTAACCAGAGACAGAACTTGGGCTCTGGAGTCAGAATCTGGCTCTAACATCCATGCTCCACCATCTGCCAGATGGATAAACTTGAGCAAATACTTAGCTTCTCTGGGCCTCAGCTTCCTCATGGGGAAAGGTGCCTTTCACACAGCAAGAGCTCAGTAGAACTCAGCTATTAACATTGCTTGCTGACAATTTCATCTTCCAGAGAGTAGAGGAAGTAATAAGGGGAACTGCCACTCTGAACCTAAATTTGGCCAAAAGGAGGAATTGGTTGGCAGAGTGGAAGTGACAGGAACCTTGGGAGAAAGCAGCTGTGTCTTCTTGAAGTTTGTCACGGTGAGAGAAACGGTAGGGCACAGTTAGATGTGTTCCCCAGATTTTAACAATTACAAGAAAATACCATGGCTTGAGACTCTAGAAAGACTCTCAAGAATTTAGTAACTTCTCAAGGACGTTCATTTTTACCTGTGAAATCTCAAGTCAGTGAAAACGGAGAAGGGACTTAAAGAAACC